GATTTATCTCCACTCTCTCCTGAAAGCCCGTCAAACAACACTTTAAAGGACATAAGCCGTAAGGGTGCCGGTGGGCGAGGATCTGGACAGAGCTGAGAAACTGGAGAGTAAACAGATGGGCATAACCGGCGCTGTGCTGGCAAACCTCAACCACCGGGTCCAAGGGTGGGTGTGGGAGGTGGGGTGTGTCCTGCTCTGCAGTGATGCCCATTTCTGGGTGTAAATGCTGCTTCCCAGCTCCCGACATGACGCCACTGAGCAGCGGCAGGGCGAGACGCACGACCGTGGACCGCGCAGTGTTCCCCCCACACTACGACAGCATGTGAGACACAGGGAAGTGGTGAGTGTGAGGACGTTGACTTTCACCTTTATTTTTAATAGTTTATTGAAGTTTACATAGTTTAGTTTTGGTAACAGCTATGATCACCACTGTTGGTAATCAACTGAGTTTGTGGACCAGAGTGGAAACCAGGGGAGAAGTCACAAAGAAACACAGCCCAGGGAAAGAAACGAGGGTTTAGGAGTTAACATTCTGCTTAAAGAAAGAAAATGCCTGTTGAAGGATTGGAGGGGAGTTTTCCAGAAGTTGGGCAACGCGACAGAGACGAAATCAGGGAGAGAAAATACAAGAAAGCTGGACCGGATCAGGAGGCCCGCATCTAACTGACAGGAGCTCCGGGAGAGAGAGAAGACAGGAGGGTTTATCAGGAAAATAATAAAAACGTATAAAAACTTACACGTAATAAAAGGAAAACGTCCAGAACACAGGGACACCAAAGCGCCAAGCAGCACAGCGAGCGAGCGAAGCCTTCCTCCAGGCACGCCGTGAGGGGTGAGGACCCAGGAGGCAGGGCAGCGCGGAGAGCCCAGTCCCTGCAGCACCCTGCGAGCCGCGCTGCCAGCTGGGAGGCAGCCAGTGCCTTTAAAGCCCGAGGGAGGAGGATTTCTCACCTAAAATTCTACATCGAGACAATTATCAATCCTGTGAGTGCAGCACGAAACACGTATCAAACGTGGAAGTTCTCAAAACTCCACTCTCCCTCACATTCGTTCCCAGAAAGCTACTCAAGGATACGCTCCACCAACACCAGGGAGCTCTCCCAGGTCTTCCTGCGGGGGGAGAAGAGCGGTGACAGGAGGCAGGGTGTGCGCATGGAGGATGGGCACAGGGAGGGAGGCCAGGCCCAGGTGCAGGGGGGTCACCCAGAGCCACGGGCTTGTGTGAGGGACACGGGCGTACGGGTCTGGCAGAGTCTGGGGCGTGTTAGTAACCCAGAGAGACAATGAAGTCCACACACTCGACATGAAGCAGCCGCCGCCCCAGGGGAAGCAAGAAGTGGGACGCGGCAGGAAATGCAATCAGCGTGCACTGCCCACGGCCCAGCGGTGACCAGCCCGACACGGCCCCGTAACACAGTCTGCGGCAACGCCATAGTGAGAGGACCCAACCCGCACCTTCCGGCACTATGTCATCCAAAAGAGAACAGTCAGGAAGCAGCAGTATAAGCAGTTTGAAGGAAGATCCCCACATGGCTAAACAGCTGCAGCTGGCCGCCTCAGGGACGAAGGGACAAGACCGGAGGACGCTCCCTTTTCTCATAAACGGCGTGAGAATGACTTCCCTTCAAAATCACGAGTACTGCCCGGCCGGCGTGGCCCAGTGGTTGAATGTTGACCTTGAACCAGGAGGTCACGGTTCAACTCCTGGTCAGGGCACATGCCCGGGCTGTGGGCTCGATCTCGTGTGGGGCCTGCAGGAGGCAGTCATCAATGATTCTCTCTCTTTACTGATGATCTATCTCTTTCTCCCTCTCCCTTCCTCTCTGAAATCTATAAAAATAAAAAACAAATTTAAAAAATTTCCATTAAAAAGTCATGTGTACTGACGGGTCTGATAAAAATGAACGGAATGGTTAAAAGAAACCCGTGCTCCGCGTCCATGCAGCCTGGGAGGCAGTGGCTCCGTGGGGCTGAAGCTGCAGAGGCGCCGCCCAGGACGGAAGCGTGGGTCTGCACAGCGTGCGGGCCCCACACTTGCAGGAACCGGACAACTTGCTCAACCACAGCTTCCCGACAGGCAGAGCTGCCCCGACAGATGCCCAGGGCGCTGGGTGGAGGCAGGGCTCTCCTGTCCCATGCGCTGCCCAAACTGGTTTAGGAGAGAAGAGAACACGTTTTCCTTAGTCACCTTTAGCCTGGACCAACCCTGACACCGCCACTGGGACCGGTGCTCCCTCCCGAGGGCAGAGCAGCTCTCTCTGGGAAGCACGCAGGCTCCCAGCCCGCTCTGGGCCACACTCGCCTCATCAGCAGATGCCAGATTCCTGACGGCCTCCATCAGACCCCGCCTCTCGTTCCCAAACGAGAACAGCAGAAGCAGGAGGGCCCCTACCACACAGACCCCTCCCGGCAAGAGGGCAGGTGGAGGCGGGGGGGAGGCCTGCCTGGCTGCTGTATGACTTCGGAAGGGTTGGATTCTTTTATTTTCTGCCAAGAATGCATGGCTTTGTATAATTTTAAAACTGCTAAGCAAAGCACAGCCCACACCTCCATGCACACACCACCGTGCACGGCTCCAGCAGCGCCGCTCCACGTCGGAGGGGAAGCGCCTTAGGCACTGAGCCTAGTACCCAGGTGGGAACAGCAGCAGGAAGTATGGGAGCTGCGTCAGGACTGGCATTCCGCCTTCCCGTGCGACGTCCTGCCTTTCATTCTGAGACGGGCCCATCAGGAGGATAGGGTACACATGTCACTCCCATCACCGACACGGAACTGTACTGGCTCATGGGGAGGGCACGATCCCACTTTCCATGCCAGGAGAGCAGGACCCGGAGGGGGCTCTGAGCCATCACTGCCGGTCACATGGCAGCTTTCCACCAAAATGGCCTTGAATCCAGCCAGGGGCGGTGGCAGGGAAAACAGATGCACCCGGCAAACAGCAAGCAGCACGGGGAAGGGCTCGTTCACGAGATGGCATACATGCATGTCTGCGCGTACACATGTGTGTATGCATGTATATGTGTATCTATGCGCACCCGAGTGTCTGTGTTTGTGTGCATTTGTGTATAGGCATGACATGTGTATACGAGCACCTGCACTTGCATGCACAGACGTGTACATTCATGTATGTGTAAATCTCTGTGTGCATGAGCATGTTTTGCATGTGTGCATATCTGTGTGGTCATGTGTGCCTGCGTGGGCATGCACATGTGCACATGTGTCCACATGCATGTGTGGTATGCATGCACTCTCTTCTGATCAGCATAAAAATTGTGATGTGGTGTTGCATTCTTAGATGTGACCCGCGGACGGCAGGTGCTGTCTGGGTCTGTCCCACCCGCCTCATGCGGTGGCTTCCCTTCCTGGACCAGCTGTCTGGGACCGTGGGGGTGGGTCACAGAGGGGACACCACCCACGACCACACATGAAGCATCAGTGCTCCTGTCAGCAGCAGGATGCCAGCCAATGCTAACAGCGACCTCACCAGAATTCCCAGGGACCCGTGAAAGGGGATCTGGGTGACAGTGGTGGACAGCTGCCTGGGCAGCCGAAAGGGCTTCTTGCCTATGGGCTTGAGACAAAAACAGGACGCTGAAGCCCTCCTCCCCCCCAGGCCACGTGGCAGGGACAGCAGAGGACACCACCTGCCCACCTCTTCCCCTCCCAGCCAGGAGCAGAGTGAGACAGCCGCCGAAGACCAGGCCCTCCCGATGCCATCCCCAGCCTGGCCCCACACCATGCTCCCCCTCCCGCCCCAGCCCTGGCTATGGTGCTGACGCCACCACCTCCAAGAAAAGGCCTTGCCCCAGGAGCCAGGATGGGTTTCAGGAGCTCTGCGTCCGAGGCCCACACCACGAGTTGTTTCAACTGCAGTCTCCCCTGAACAGAGCAGATCCCGGGAGCAGCACGCCAGCTGCGCGGGGGCGTGCCCAGCCCTGGAGGTGGGCTGGACCCACTCTGCAGAAAATCACCAGGACACGGTCCCGGGACACCTGCTCGCCTCCAGCCACCTCGAGGGGCAAACAGGGCAGTCAGGACGCCCGGCACACCTCAACCTGGTCCCTCACCCCAACCTGGTATGTGTGAGCCGTGAGTGCTGAGGGGAGCTGGGAGGGGGACAGAGGGCAGCAGGTGAGGGACGGACACACACACTGACCACTCAACCCTGAATCGACCAGCAGTGATGATGGGCAGGCACTGAGAAGGGCATAAGCAGGGGGTTCCCCGGGGCAGCGGGACCCTCCTGGCCCGGTAAGCTAACAGGCGTGGCACGCAAGATTCAAAGACAATGATCTGGGGAGAAAAGAGGAAAAAACCCCGGGATCACACATGCCGGGGCTGGGAATTCCTAGTTAATGCAGCGACCCACCAGTGGTCAGAAACCCTGGAGAGGCCCAGCACACCAGCCGGTAACAGAGGCGTGTCTGTGACCAGCCACTGACCAGACAGCGCCAAGTGCCCAGACGGAAGGTGCATCTCGACCGCCCACCAAACTGGCATGGGCGTGCCCCGCCTGCACGGCCAATACCCGGCCCCGTGGGGCTTTCCTTTAGTTTTTAAAGATTAAACTGGCATTTCTCTTTCCGTCACAACTGAAAACACATGGTTGACCACGTATTAACTGACCAAAATGAAAACCAATCACAAACGACCCCAATCCAGGGGTGACACTGAGAAACCTCTTCCGGCCCTGGGCCTCACAGACGACCCCTACGCTCCCCGTGAGAAGGTGGCCCATGTCAGGGCTTAGACCAGGGGCACAGCACAGGCCGGGAGCGCGTCGGAGGGAGAAAAAGCAGGCGACGCACGGAAGTCCAGGTGCCCAGCATCCACTGCCCTCTGGGCTCCACCTCAAGCCACCCCAGGCACGGCGGCCAGGTCAGCTTTTCGCCCCCGGAGCGCGCAGGGACCGACAACCAACTTGCTGCTGACTCTCGGTGAGGCTTCCGTAGGTGTCAGCTCTGACAGACTGGATATAGATTGAGAAACAAATGATGTACCTGTATCCTGGGGGTCTCGGAACTTGCCAGTCGTCTAGGAGGAAGTCTTCAGAAAGCGTAGCCCTGGAAATAATGGGAAATGAGAACATTTGATCACTCAGATGTCTGTCCACATAAACTCAGCATCCGTTCTAAAACACCACTAGAAAGAAACCTGTGATATTTTTTTAACTTCTGGACCCTCTGGCAGCTGACTCGGACCCAGGATCAGGGTGGCATTCGTGCACTTGTGCAAACAGGAGGGACTGGGTGTGCAATCGCTCACCCACAAACAAAGGACACGCGAGTCGGCTGGTCACCCAGGCAGAGGAGCTGGTCCCCCACGGCTGACAGCCACCACTCCACGATGAGCCACGGTCACGGTCATTCATCAGAAAAGGAGTCAATCCCTGACCTGTCTACTGGCTGCAGAGCCGCCGCAGCTCTCCCCTTCCTTGAAGCCGAAAGGCGGGAGGCAATGCAGGAGAAAGCAAAGACACGGACACAGCATTTACAGTCATCAAGGAGATGACTTCCTGAAGAGCCTGCTGCTCCCACCCTCCTGCTGTGCTGCTGTCTGTGAACGGGCGGGTCTCGCGCTGTGCAGCGAGTTTCGGTGGTGGTTGTGCCCGAGCCCGTGCAGGGTCCGACGCCCGGCGGCCGGTGAAACTGGTCTGACCCCTCGATGGCAGCAAACGATCCCACAGGTTTTTAAGCTTCAGATCAAACTCCAGCGCTTTTTGTAGTTGGAGCATAGTTTTCCTTTGCCTGAAGAGCTTATCCAGCGGTCCTCAACCTTCCCGATGCCGCGGCCCTTTAATACCGTTCCTCATGTTGTGGGGACCCCCAATTTCATTGTTACAAATTGAACATAATGAAAGCACAGTGATTAATCACAAAAACAATATGTGATTATATATGTGTTTTCCGATGGTCTTAGGCGACCCCTGTGAAAGGGTCGTTCCACCCCCAAAGGGGTCGCGACCCACAAGTTGAGAACCGCTGGCTTATACGATTCTTGCCATTTCTCCAGAGACAAGTGAGAAGTTGGGGTGGGGGCTCCCCAGGAGCACGCTGGTGCCCCATCTTTCCCTCCCAGCCCCGAGGAGTGGGACCAAACATGCTCACCAGCTTACACCCCACTCTTACACGCCCACCCACAGCACACAATTTCCAGGGTCACCCGGGGCCCAACATGCTCCCCGAATCCTGAGCAAACACCTCGAGTTAGCAAATGAGACCTGCCGGAAGCCGGTCCGTCCTTGCTGCTTGACACAGTCGCTGCAGGAAAGAAACATCTGCACAGCATATGTTTCAAGGGACCTGGCGTATATAGCATACTGTTCTTAATATGTTTGCTCCCCTTAGCGCTATGTGTTTTAACCAAGGTCACCTCTCCGAGAAAGATTGTTTCCCCAGGTAGGGATTTTTCCCTGAAGTCAGGGAGGGAATAAAACTCCTTAACTAAGTGCCAGGCGGGTAGTTAATCACTTTAACTACAAACAATCATGCTTAAGCTACATAATCTTTACTCCCTGGAATGGAGATAAGAAACGCCCTAACCTTTGCAATAGAAATTGACAGGATTAAAATCAACTGGTATAAATATGGATATAACAAGACAATAAATGCCAGAACTTCACTGGAGATCCTGACCAGAACTTGGCTGGAGATCCTGGCTAGAGATCCTGGCTAGGCTGCTGATCAACTGAACGCTGTCTCTGTGTCATTCCTTCTTCGCCGACTCCGTCCACACCTTTGGGGACCCCTGGACCCGCTGGGGTTGGACCCCAGCAGAGACCCCACAGTGCCAGGTGGAAATGGGTCGGACCCATCAGGACCCGTCTGGCCTCCCTGCAGGGCGGCTGCCCCTGACGGATCCGTCAGCAGCAGCAGCCTGGACCCGGGCAGGCAGGGAGCCGCCGGGACAAGGCCACGCCACACAGCTCACGGGAGCCGTCTTCTATTTCAATGCCAGGGAGGCGCTGGCTTAGCGGATGGACACGTGGGAACCTGAGAAACCGTGGAGTTTTCCTGTCCCACAGGCCGGTGTGGCCACGGCCGGAAACGCTTATGGGAAAAGGGTGACTCATGCACAGAGAAGAGGTGTAGCTAAGCAACACGGATACCCAGAATTATAAAGAGGAAAAGTCTCTTCTGAAAGTTCAGCAAGCCTTTGCCGTTTTAATAAGTAAAAGCCCACGCTGCTTGCTCTGTGGTTGGACAAGCACGCATCCTAGTCACCATAACTTCACGGAGATGAACACACGGCGACAGGTTAGGGGTCTGTACTCTCAACCTCACTCTGAGCACCGGCCCGGCACCCTCGTGTCCTCCTTCGAGCAAGTCCCCGTCCCTCCCCTGGCCAGGCAGCTCTGGCCCCGTGGTTCCCGGGTAAAAATACACCTCCGGCCTCAGCCGACCACGGAGGCCTCGGGCCCCACTGTCTGCAGCCTTCACCACAATTTTTCTTCTTCGTCAAGGTAACAATTAGTTATCACCGCCCTAGAGACTGCGAAGTACATATTCCTCATGCACCCACTACCACGGAGTCTCCGCTAGACTTTTCCTAACTGCTTATCGTGGCATCTAAAAAGGAATGCAGGGGCCATTTGTAAAATAAAGGAATGAAATTAAATCAGAAAAGAAGTATTTCCCTCTTGGGCCTGAGAAACATGCCTTTGTCCCTGCACCAGGCCCCAGCAGAGCAGGGGAGTGGGGGAGCCCCTACGCCCACGCCTGGTGGCCACCCCTGACGACAGCACAGGCCTGGGTGAAGTGGGCCTTTGCCTATGGGCATCTTGCCGAGTTCTGCAGCGGTGACCTCCCCTTCTGAGGGTCCCTTACCCCAGCAGTAGCCAGGTCTTCGCTTTAGCAGGAGAGAAGGCACAGGTGGGATGGGGCCAGAGCACGGGGCTCTGCGGTGGGAATGACCTGGGTTATGGGCCTGGCTTCCATTGACCAGCTGTGTGTCCTTGGGGAAGTTCCTGGGCCTCTCTGTGCTAATTTCCTTATCAAGAAAGTGGGCATAATAACAGTGCCCATGACACCTGGAGCCCAGGAAGGAAGCCAGCACCTGCTGCCGACCGAGGCAGGAGGCTGGGCGGGACCTTTTTAACTGCGTGAGTTCCTGCAAGTCTGCGTGTGAGGTCATCCGTGTGTCCAAGGCTCCCACGCATGATTTCATGGCTGCATGATGTTCCTATTAAACTTGACAATGCTGGAATTCAGATCACTGCCAATTTACAATGTAAAATTCATGTTAAAGACGGATTTTAACCACCGCAAGACAACCAAGCAGCTTTCAATCTAGAATGCAGAGCCTAATGTAGAAGTCTGGGGTCACCCAAGGACGCCGCGGATGGTGGGAGGCTCTGTCCTTGGGGACAGGCTCAGCACCCTGACTCGTCACAGTGACAGCTCTGCTCCCTTCTGCTGGGGTTTGTCCTACAACTTCCAGGACTATGTTCACGTAACCTTCTTCTAAGTTTTTCTAGTTAGTTGGGCTGTTTTTGAAAAGGCACACACATATGTTGTCTGCTATAAAGCACAATCCAGTCACGTAGCACGAGCACATTCTATACTTATTTCAAGTCAATTCAATGCTCTAGTTCAGTTTGTTTATTCTCCCCCTAACAGGGGAGGCAGCAAAGTGTCCTGGCCAGATGTGGGCTCTGAGGCCAGCCTGCCCTGGCTCAGGTCTGGGGCTGCCCCTTCCTAGCGGTGTGACCTAGAACAGGTCACTGCTCCTTCACCGCCCCCAACTACTCCCCCAGCCCCCCCACCTCTCTCAGCTACTCCACCTCCCCCAGCTACTCCCTGAGCCCTTCATCCTCCTCCAACTATTCCCTCTGCCCCTCTACCTCTCAGACCCCCTATTCCCTCAGCTACTCCACCTCTCTAGCTACTCCCTCAGCCCCCAGGTATTCTACCTCCTGAACCACTCCCTTAACCCCCACCACCTTTCTAAGCTATTCCACCTCCCCAGCCCCTCCCTCGGCCCCTCCACCCCTGGGGAGAGCGCTGTGTGACTAAGTCCACGTGCTACAGAAGGGACTTATGTCATGGTGTTGGGTAACACAGCCACACGCCACGGCACCGTGCCCTCGTGACAGATGTGACACTCCCCGGTGCAGAAAGAGGTCTGACCAGAATCTCAAGGCCCCACGGGCCACATCCCAACAGAAACTAGCGGAGGAGGGGAAGGAGCAGGCTTTCTTAGGCACCTGTCCTTCAGGGCCCAGATGAGAGAGGGTTCAGGGGCTGCTGTCAAGTAGAAAGAGACTCACAGGACAGTCAGAACCACGTCCCGGCTGAGGCTCACCTCCAGGGTCTTGCAGTGGCCTGCAGGCCACCTGGGCTCTGGGGCTAGGGCGTTGGTGAGCCGGGTAGGAACCACTCCCTGTGGCTTGTCTCCACGGCGCTTCCCGCTGATGGGCCTGGTGCCCCAGCAGCCCCACTTCCTTCCCCAGAAACTCAAGGCAGACAGGAGGGATGCCTGGGCCCCACTGCAGGCGCTTCAGAAACGGTGGCTCCTTCCTCCTTCTATTTGCCAGGTGGTGACGGCGGCATCTGGTCTGCCCAGAACCATCTGGAAGCCGGGGCTGGTTCAGGACTGCACTCTGGGCCGCCTGTGGCAGCATCCTGCACCCCAGTTGCTCACGGCTCCTCCCAGTGGCCACAGCTGGGGGCAGGGGGACAGTGTGTGCAGTGCCACCAGGAACCAGCCTCCTCCTGCCTTTCTTGGCCCGCAGACCCAGCCCGGCTGCGGAGGGACGAGGGAGGCCCCCCACTGCAGCTGGAGGGACCGTGGAGCCTCGACAAGCCCAGGCCAGAGTCAGGATTTTTTTTTAGTCCCCAAACCACAAAATACCACTCTCTTTGCCTTCGTCTCCAGTAATTCCTTACAACTACACAGAAGGGGTGCAGAGTCGGGCCAGCTCAGCCGCAGGGCGACATCCACCCCGGGTCAGCAGGGCCTGAGCCAGCACCAGCCTCCCGGGGACGTGGCCAGGAGAACCCGCACGCCAGGCCCCAGGTCACCTCCCTCCTGGCAAGACCAAGAACGTCCCCAGCTCAGATGA